GAATGCTACTGGCACCATTAGTATCGGAACTCTTCGCTGGTTGCTGAAGATGGGGACGGGGCGCTTATGGGAATGCCTCGAGTGCTGTGATGTCGGTTCTTGAATCAAATCAATCAAGCCACGGCCACAGAGCGCAGAGGCATGGTAATACAGTAGATTAGGGTCACCGAAAACGAGACTCGGGTCCAAAAAGCCGCACAGCAGTCGCAGCAAGGCCAGTGGATCGGCTTCGAGAGCGCCTTGCCACGAATACTCACGTGAGGTGAGATCTGACGAATGGCCCCGCTGCGGCTGAGCTTTGTCGTAAGAGCTGCGTACGATGTGCTACCGACTGGCGTCGACATGGCGAAATGGCAAGCGACTAACGACCCGACATGCCGGTTATGCAGAGCTAAGCAGACGCTCGAGCACGTATTGTCCGCGTGCAGAAAAGTCCTAGGTCAGAGAAGATATACTTGGAAGTCCTGAACGAGTTAGCCGACATTGTGGACCAAGCAAGTATGAGGGCCAAAGTCGGTTTGGAAATGTAAAGATGTCGGAATAAAAACAAGTTGGAGTTTTTTTTAGTTTTTGAAATAAATATATATATTTAAAAAAAAAAAAAGATACTGAAAGACTGTATGAGAGTAAAAAGATATGGGAATGAAAGATTACAGATTAGTGAGGAGACTTCCGGACAGATCCATTGGTTCTCTGATCTTTTCCTCGATAGCTCCACAAGCGCAAAAACCACTAAAAGACGTCAGTTCTGTGGTGATTAATCAGACGAAATGCATCTCACTTGACATTAATAATATCACTACTGCCTATGTCGGGAAGTCACAGTAACCACCAAGCTGCAAGATTAACCTGTAGCAGCAGCGGTAGTAGTAATAGAAGAGTAGTAGTTCCTTACATGAACAGTCCGTGACGACAGCACTAGCGATGCGGCCCTAAATCCTCAGGTTCACGACCCCCTGTCGACACCGACCTAAAAGGTGGTAAAGCAGACAGCAGTGATGGTTTAAAAAAATTGCTGTGTTGCTGGTGGTGGTGGTAGTAGTAGTAGTACTTGATGGGTGATTTGGTAAATATTACACTAGCCGCATTTACTTCTCATTACAATTTCTGCTACCTATTTTAGTCTGGGTGGACACGGATGCCAAGGTGAATTAAATGAATATCGTCAGGTGATTAATATCAAGTCTTTCAGAAAGGGAGACAGGAGTAGTCGGTGGATTGGGAGGAAAAAAGGGGGGGGGGGATGTTGACAGAAACTGTAAACTGAGAGAGCCTAATCCATGAAATTTCAAGTTTTCATTTTTAATTATTCATATTTTAAATAGTTTATTAGTTATAATTGACACTACACACTTTGTTTCCTAAATCTTACAGTACATAAGACAATACGATCACACACATTCTACCCATTTTCAAACTCACTAAACTGGTCTGAGTGACCAGGATGATGATAATGAGGATGATGATAATGAATCTTATAACGTAGGGGTGACTATATCAAAGATATCCTTTTCAATGCGCATATCACCTTATATCCGCACATAACCTTATAACAAGCGGCTTGGGGCGAAACAAATTTTAAATGCCTTTATAACATTTGGCACATTTTTTGGATGCATATCTGGCAAGGCGGTGGGCGAGGTAATTTCAAAACATTTGATTGTCGTCTATCTGTGGTTGATGTTTGAATATTTTATTTAGGAATAAGAGCTAACAAACAGTCACCAAGTTCATGTCATTGTTTTAGCATTTCGGGTGAAAATTCAAGTAAGAGGTCCTATTGATGGAAAGTGTTTGAAACCATAGGTATATAATATAATATACTCGTCTTCACTAATCAGATCGGCAGCCTTAAGTTTTTCAAGTTTTTGTGTGTTTGGGAAGTCTGCTCAAGCAAGTCCATTCGTTCGAAACAAGTGTTTTTACTATATAAATTTTAACTTTGAATGAATGGAATAAATACATCTTGTGGATTTACTTGAGTAGTGAGTGAGACAATTGAGACAACAATCACTGCTTGTAATTATCACTTCTCCTTTAATACTGGATATTTCATAAAATAAAAAGTACTGTTCAGCCACGACCAGACACTTTTGTGCAACTCGTCGTCTGCTTTCGCAGCTTTGATTTCAGATTTCATCACCACTCATTTTAAAACTTAAATAAGTTAAAAAAAAAAGGAATAGGATGGCATTAAATGTAAACTGCACACACTACTTAATAACCTATCTTATTTTACGATACTTACCCATGGATAATCATCAGGATTAGTTTATTTAAGTTTTTCAATTTGTGAGTAAAACAACTTTTTAGCTATCCGAATAACAGTCCTAAATTATCGAGCCAGAAAAAAAACCCCTAACAGGGCCTCAGTCACGTGTAAAAAATCAGCAGTAGGACTATAATAGGCACTACAGTTTCGGAAATTTGCGATCTTTTCGACAATTTCCGTTACCATAGAAACCGTTTAAAACTTGTTTCGGAAATGTCGGCTGGGGTTTCGGGATAAGTCCTAATCTCTCATGAAATTTTGCGATTGGTGTGATTTTCACCCACTCTAAATAGCTGAAAACGGCGGGAAGGAACTCGATTAACAGCGCATGTCTACGAAAGCCGGACGTTCTGTTTTTCTGTTAGTCATCAGTTTGATTGAAAATAGCGGTAAATTCGAGGTTGGCTTTAGGCTTTAACTGTTACTGGTCCTGGTAATGCTAGTTATAATTGAATTCTCCGTCCAATTTTACATTTGTGTATAAAAAATTTTTTCTGGTACGTGGCTAGGTAAATGTACAGTGACATTTTTTAGGCAATCGCATGCGGCTGAGTGAGCTGAGTCTCATTGCCTGCCATCTTGTCCAATGACAGTCCAATGTCAACAAAGCCGATACAGAACTGCGCAGTAGGTTGCGCAGTCAAAAACTTCTTGTTTGTGGGTCACAAGTTTTAGCGGCTGTTTCTTACATCTCATCTCCACAAAAACCTACATATCTCAGCTCAGAAATGACATACAAGCCTAAGGTACCATTGGAAAGAGATTGTTTACAGCTATCTAACTGTGCTGGTTTTATTGGTGTAGAGGGCATTTTAAAAATTTTACTGAAGTAGCTAACTATAACGCCACCACCGAATTGCAAACTTCCGCCACCGCCGAGTGTATCGCCGCGTGAGCTGCGTTGATTGGGGCTAAACTAGATTACTAGGACTCACGAGCAAATAAAATGAAGGAAGCTGCAGGAGATGCGGTAGCTGCTGCTCGTGAGTCCCAGCCATCTAGTTTAGCCCCAATCCACGCCACTCATGAGGCCTGTGGGATACTCTCGGCGGAAGTCGCAGAAAGCGCGCAATTTAAGGCGACGGAAGTATACAATTGACATGTGACTGAGGCCCTGTTAGGGTATATTTTCCGGCTCAATAATTTAGGGCCGTTATTCAGAGAATAGCTGACTTTTTCTTCAGGTTTTCTACTTACGAAAACACAAAATATTGTTGGACAGACAGTATAAATGGTAAAAACAGTTTAGAATATAATTTGGCTGTCATCATCAAGTGCCTTAGAGACAGGCATCTGCATTAGTGTCACTTTAAAATAATAAATAAGAAAACAATTTTAGGGTTTTCATAGTGTATTGGAAAAAAACTCTTTGTTACTGTGTGGAAATTAAAAAGAAAAGCCATATGAATTTACGAGACTTAGTTCTTTCTCTACATATCAGCATTATTTAGACTTAATGTTTAAGTTGACAGTCATATACTCATTTATTTGTTAGGAAATCATAGACAGCAGATATTAAGCTATATTCCTCATATATTTAATTAATAATAAAGGAATGGGTCATAGTCAGTACTGTTTCTTACAAACTGAAATACTTTGACCACATTGAACACTTTTATGGTTTAAACTAGGTACTGGAGGTATGGTTCCTGGATGAAGGTGCAGGGAACAACTAGGATGATTGTAAGCACAGGATATCAAGGACACTGGACCTGAAAGTTCATGGGGTAGGACAGTTGGCGGGGGATTGAGTGGCTTTTGAGCATTCCATGATGAGACTGATGTTCTGCAAATGACCTGCTTCATAATGATGATGATTGTAATAGTAGATGTAAACAGTAGTCATGGCAGAGACTGGAAAGTAGTTGCCTTCTAGGGGGTTACTAGGAAGCTATTAACTTATTCATTCCTACATACAGTTTGTGTATTCTATTTTTAATATTAGAATTTGAATTCCACACAGTTATTAATACTATTATTGCTACTGCAGGCGTAAGTAATTCGTCTAACAAATAATCGCCACTTTAAAAAATATATAATTTTCAACTTGCAGGAACTGATTTAAATTTTCTTATAGCAGGAAGTTTGAACTTTGAATTTCTTTTAACCTTTACTTCATTACTGATTGTTACTGATTGAAGTGCCCAGGTTGAGACATGATTCGTAGCGTATCTACGCTTTTGTGACTATGATAAACTACTGCTGCTGTTGACATGGCAAAGCTTCTTGGAAGTTCCCATCTAATTATCAAAGAAGATTTTAACAGATGAAATGATACTGAGGTTAAAAATGAAAAACAATTATTATTTATTATATGTGTGTGATTGATTTTGAATTTGATGTTAATATTGCTATGATTAATACTGTAGAATTGCACCAGCCCTCAGTATGGCTTCATTATAACTATACCTGACTGGTCTAATACATTTTTTTTAAATATCGAAAACATGGCATCTTGTGTCTTTATTACTAGGTCAGTTTTTTAAATCTTCCACTTTATCAGCCTTTATAGTGTGTAGATCAAAGTTTCTTCATCAGTAAGAGTAATCTCTGTCAACATATTTCATGGTTGACAGTGCCCTCTACTGTAATATGTGACTAAATCTTGCAGACAATCCAGACTCCAGTTTCTGGCTCCCTGTAACCTTTATAAACCAGTTTGTGGCTCATGGTATCACCTATAATACTAACTGCTGCTGACATTCCACAGATTGCAAGTTTGGCCACAATGTCTTTGTATCCAGAGTTGAAAGGCTTGTACCACCTGAGGGAAACAATTGGATCAGGTATTTGTGCCACTGTGACTGCACATGAAATCATTCATACATATACTGTTAGTGTTTGATGCAGGAACAGGTGACCTAGCAGTTATGTAACAGTGAATTACCAGAGTGCCTAGCCTTGCCCTGCTAGGTTCTGAAACTACTGATTATTGTTAGAAAGTGAGATGTCAAGCAAAAGACCCCTTTCCACTATTATCACATTGTAAATATGAACTTCCCTGTGCGGGTTACAGGGCCCCAATTTGGGGACAAAAGAATAAATTGACTGTTTACCCAACGAGCATGTTGTAAAAGTCACTAATTAAGGGTGTTTCTTTCGAAGTCATCCGCATCTGCCATTGTGGTAAGGAACCAAGTTAAAAGAAGGCCAAATCTGTAAGATGGATACGCCCGTTCAAACTCAAGTTCTGGAACAGGTCTGAAGTTTATAAGTGGACGAACAACCGTAACTTTCAGCCGTTTACAGCTGATGAACACAAAGAAGAAGAAGGCCATATAGATTTATATTTGTATAGACAAATTGGCATTCAGTAGATGATGTCATCTTCATGAAAGTTGTCTTCCAGGACATATCTTGGTATTCATTTTAGGCTGATTTCAGTTATAAAAAATACAACTTGATGCATATTGAAACAAAGAAGTTCAAGATAACAAGCAAGGGTCTAGCCAGTGCTGTACTATTTCTTCCCTGTTGCTGAAAATCAGTCATTATTATTAAAGAACCTCTTTGGAAGGAAATGATTGTGCACCCTACCTCCTAATCAAACTACTTACTTGCTTAGTCACTCTTCTACCTTAGGGTGTAGAGGTTTGCCAGAGAGTTCGTCAAAGCCTCTATCTGCAGTTTTATTTCTGGCTTTGTTCCATTCCAATCCTTTGTCATTTAGGGCCTCCTGAACAAAAAGATACTAAATAATGGATTTGATTTATCAGGTCATTACAATTTGCATGACCTATATATAATTCAGTGGATCATATCTTCATTATAAGTTCGGGCCGCGTCAGCGCAGTTGATAGAAGGCTCGCTTTTAAATCCAGCTGTGACTAATTGCAGCCCAGGGTCGGTGTTCGAAACTGGGCTGTTTCCTGGGGTTCACCCAGCCTCTAGGTAATGGGTACCAGAGTTAACACATTGGAATAAATGGAGGAACGTCACTGTAGCTACAGAGTTACAGTTTCTTATCAGCTGTCTGTACTGGTGGCAGAGTACTTATGGTTTATAACTGTGTGCAATGACGCTGGTTCACATCTACCAACTTTACCTTTTATCTTTTTTCATCATAAATATGACATTTTCCTTGCTGTCAAATCTTCAGTTTATGTGTAGGTGATTCCAGGCTATCAGCACGCAACTGAGTGCAACAACTTTACAATCCTGACAAATGATCAAATTAGAAGAGAATTATGAAAGTGACATAGCCGTCACTGGGGAATCTGGAAAGATCAAAATCTACTAAAGGATACTGAGCATGGTTGATAGAATAATACTGGTAAAGAAAAATAGTAGGCCTTTTGATGTCAGAATCTTTCAGTCCCAGTAGCAGAGAAGGGTGAAGATAGTATATATCAATTGTATAGTCAGTTAAGATAAATAAAAAGTAAACATCATTTAAAAAAAATTTACTTAATAAAAAGTGAGAAATTAACATGCTAGTTGCAAAGTGAGAAATGGAACTAGGACAGTTGTCGGCACACATTTTAGTCGAAAGAGCCAAAAATCAGCAGCAGAATGATTAATTTGTTTGAGAGCCAAATTTCTTGTCAAGAACTATGTTTTTCGGAGTTAAAACCGAATTCTGGCCGAGCCACACTCAGTTAGCTAAAGAACCGCATGTGGCCGACCACTGGACTAGGAGAATGTAATAAAATAAGAGACAGACTTGTAGAGTGGGCAGAAAAGCTTGATATGATCATTGGAAACAGTTGGTGTCATCAGTAATCGAGACTGAAAATCAGATTGGGTATCTCGTTATCAAGATACAATTTTGTTATCATCATCAATTGCTACTTTTGCAGTTAAGCGTTGTGGGGAGGAACAGTTTGTTATCCACTGCTTGATGGGCAGCATTGGCTATTGTCATTCCATGTCGATGTAGAAGCTCTTTAATGTCGTCATCTTCTCCTAGGGTGGCCTTTTGCTTTCATTTCAAATCTTTTCATGTATAGTGCCTGCGTTGGTAGTTGTTCTGGCTATATTCTTACTAAATGACCAAACCATTTGCTTTTCAGTTTCTCAGCGAATTTGCTGCATAGTGTTGTTTCTGTAGTCTGATAATATCATTTCTAACTTTGTCTCAGATGGTTAATTTGGTGGCTTTTCTCGTGCATCTAATTTCGCAGGTGTTAATTTTACCTAGGTTAACCTTTAATAATGTCCAAGTCTGGCACTGGTAGCACAGTGTTGGTATGAATATGCTATTCATAATCTTTTTCTTGGTGCACATACTTTTGTTTGGATGTCTTAATAAGGGTGTCAGTTGGTATATAATTGCACTGGCTCGTTGGCATCTTGTTTCTATTTCCTCTCCTATTCTTCCATCCTCCGAGAATATACTTCCTAGATATTTAAATTCTTTAACCTGCTACAGACAAGTACCATTCAGCCAGATATGTAGCAGACTAGGAATTCTGCTGACCTGCATTACTTCAATTTTAGTAGTATTTATTCTCATGTTATATCTTCTGCATGTTGAACCTAGCCTGTTCAAATGTTCTTGCAGTCTACCGCTCTCATTGTAGAACAGGCACTGATCAATCTAATTCTGCTTCTGGAAAGTAAAGTTCTTAATCTTTTAGATTTTCTGGGTCAACTGCTTTAGAGCTGGCTTCTGTTGATACTCTGTCTGTGTACGTTGTTGATATTCTGTATGTGTACCTAGTTAATAAGAGACGAGAGAGCACACATCCCTGCCTCATCCCTGTATTGATTGTAAACATTTTCAGATATTCATTCTTGTGTTCACACTGCTTTGGGAAGTGTGGTCCATAGCCATGGTGTTATCTAGCAAATGTCCTTGCATCCCATAATGCTGAAGAATAGCCCATAGTTTGTTTCTGTCTACTTTATAAAAAGCTTTTTCTTGATCAACAAACTCAGTAAAAAATGTGTATGCTTCAACGTACTAAATTGACTAGATGCGGATTGCTACGGTAATCATAAATTAGTTCCACATTGTGTAAACTATTAAATAATGTAAAAAAAAAATAAAAAACTAAGAAATATTAAATTTTATCTCTGCCCACTTTAAGTATTCGAAAGAGATAAAAGACCAATTCATCACAGAAATAAACTGTTAGACAGACTGCAGAAACAATACAAGAGCGTAAGAAAATTAGCTGTAAAAAAAAAAACTGAAGAAATCTTAAAATTAACAGGAAGAAAAGAAACATAAATAATCATGAATGTTATGAAGAGACAGAGTTGAGTTTATTCAAGAACCGACATCACAGCACTCGTGGGCATTCCCATAAGTACTCCGTCCCCATCTTTAGCAGACAGCGCAGAGTTCCAATGCCAGTGGTGCCAGTAGCAGTCTGATTATGCATCCGCCCCTACATTTCTTCTGATCGTTGAGTATCGGCCAGATCCCTTCGTCACTCCTCGCTGCCTCACTTTCACCAGATTGTTGTGATTCATTTGCTCCTCCAAATTGTACACATGCTCCCACAAGGCCTTGACCACGACTGCCTTATCATGCATCGTGTTCCACCAAGTTGTGCAGAGCCAGCCAGTCTGTCCACCTGTTTATTTCCCAACATACCAGCATTGCCAGGAGAAAAGATCTAGACAGTGCCTCTCAATCGTGACTTCCGAAGCACAGCATGGCACTCTGCATGAAGCGTGCCTGTCCTCACCTTCTTCAGCATGCTTTCTGAGTCTTTTGCCAGGAACCCCATAGCACTGCTTTTGCCTCATGGCACTGAACCATCTGTATAAATAATCACATCACCTGAACGAGTATTATGTTGAATTAAATTCTGAATGTCCACCTCTGTGGGTCCTGATGGCCACTCTCTGCACTCCGGGCTCAATGTAACTATCTCAACACAAATCTGTTGCTCTGCTAGCATTCTGACCCACCCCAATTCTCACCCAATGTTCTGCATCTTTTCCTAGCCTGTAGCTTTCCATACCTCTTGGCAGAAGCTCTTCCCTTTCCAAACATTCTTGCAGCTTGACAGCGATTATCTTCTCTAAAACTTTCCCAAATGTATTGTGTAAGATGGGTATTCTAAAGCCACTAAGCTTTTAATTTTCTTCTCCTTCTACTTTCGCTCGCTTCAAATAGATTATCTGGTGCTATTCATGTTTTCAGGCCCAGAATTAAAGTAACTTCCCTTGCCATTCATGCCTCTTTAGGTCGCTAGACCACTTCTATGTTGCGGGGAAGTCATGTTTTTCTTATTGCGTGATTATTTTCAAGATCGGGAGTATGGAAACAGCAATATTTTTCTATTCCTGCGCTCCTTGTAACTGCTTTTTTTTCTTGGGGGGGGGGGGGGGGGGGGGGGGCACGTCAATGAATGTAGAAATGCAAAAACATCCCAGTTTTGATAGTCAAGAATTTTGCGCCTGGGGTGCTTCCCCCTGCAGTACTTTTCACTTGTACACAGGCGCCTGAAATAAACTCACAACACAACCTCCAACAAACATAACATATGCCAAGCAAATGCCAAAGCATATCATAAAACCCCAGCAACATAGGAGAGGTGCAACAACCTAAGGAGGCAGGAAGTTATTCTAATCCTGGGCCTGGAAACGTGAACAGGTCCGATTATCCATATCTGCAATATTGTCTCTAGTATGAACTTCACTGTCTTTTGTAATTCACTCAGCGACCCGTAAAGTTTGGCTTGCACCAGTGTTTCTCTTGGCCAAAAGATATGCTGCATTTGGGACAGTCTTGTCTGTTGTCTCAGGTGCCAGTGCACATGTGCCGATTAAAAATTTTGTGGCTGCGAAGTCGATTGTGTCCTGTTTTAAGGCGTAGAATAGTGACTTGCTCTCGTCTGTCTGTAATATAGTAATTTTCTTGTGCCGGCTTTGGTAGCTTTCTGATTGATTTGATTAGTCTCTTCTTCTGTTAAGAGACTGGTGCTTCAGGTTGTTCTTCATTTGCACCTTCCTGAGCTAGTTTATCAGCTTTTTTATTTAGGAACTCTGCAGTGGTATGGTATCCATAGTTACCTAACACCGGTTGCCTAGTTTGGAGAGTAGTTTTTGTATACCAGGTAGTTTTCCAGACTGGATTGTCTGAAGTACCACTCTTGCATCTGTTAGAAATAACACGGGTTGTGAAATATGACGTATATTTAACAGTTTCTCTGCTGCGATTTTGATGGCTTGAACTTCTTCATCATAGTTGTGACAGTGCTTTCCTGTTGGTATTTTGGCTGTATATCTGGTATTATTTGCATGCTCAATATACATTCCTCCTCCATTTCTGCTGGCGTTTTGTTCTGACCCATCCATTTAGACACGAACCCAAAGATTCTGTTGGTGTTCATCATCAAGTAGAGCGAGAGTGGCTGTTTTGTTCTTTCTTGTTGAATACTTCTTTTCACTTCTGTCTGAGTGTGTATTGGCACTGGAATAGCATTTAAGGGGCTGTCAGTTGCGGGCAGATCATTCTTTGCCTGTCAAGTCATTGGGCCTGGTTGGTGAAACTGCTTCTTTTTAGTCGCCCCATTGCTAGATTTTGGAATCTTTCTTTCGTAGGGTGTTGAGGCATGCTAAGAAACTTTTCTGCTTGTATTAGTATCTCAGTGTCTCTTCGTTCTGTCATATTTGGGTCATCGCCATCTTCTCCATCACAGCTATAGGTTTTGATTTCATCCCGCCTATTATGACTCTGAGCTCTTGATTTTGCACCTTGTCTTTTTGTGGTGTGGTTTTTTATGCTGAACTCCATGCAGTTGGCCCATGTTTAAGTTGTGGTCGTACACTTTGTTCATAAACTTTTGCCCCGTGTTGTTCCACTTAGTTTTCTTGGGATGGCTACCTTCCATCTGGTTTTGGTTGCTGCCTTGTTGATGTGTTTTATCCATGTTTACCAATCATCAAACGTTACTCAGAAGTATGTGGGCTCCTTATCCTCACTTAGTGGTACTCCATTTATCTGAGTGACGCCAGACTTTTGTTTTGGGGAGAGGGTGAAGAGGGTGGTGCTACACTTGTCTATATTGATGCTGACACACCATTTATCAGCCCTTTTTAGCATCCCTTGTAGCAGTTGAGTGGCCACTGTTGCATATTTATTTGTGTACCATAGTACCAAGTCGTCAGCATATATTGCTGCATTAATATCATGGGGTAGTTCAGCAATTAGGTCGTTGATATAGACCAGAAAAAATGTCAGAGGCAGGACACTACCTTGGAGAACACCATGGCGCAGCAAGACTTTCTTGCTCTTGAGTCCGTCTATCTGTACTCAGGCTCTTCTGTTATACAAGTATGCTATTACCAATCTGTACATATTCCTATTCACTTTGTATCTTCTTAGTTTCTTCATGAGACCTTTCCAGACCTTATAAAAAGCTTTCTTCATATCTATCCATGCCACAAGCACTAGCTTCTTTTCTTGGAAGGCATCTTCAGTTTCTTGAGAGAGGTAAGTTATCTGGTTTTCTGTGGGATAGAACTGTCTAAACCCTGCCTGCTGTGATGTTAAGATGTTTTCACTTTCCAGGTACCATTGGAGTCTTAAGGTTGACAATGCTTTCCATTGTTTTACAGAGACAGCTGGTAAGGCTAACTGGTCTATAACAGGAAGCATCAGAACTGTCCTTTCCTGGTTTTAAGACAGGTATTATAGTTGCTTCTCTCGATATCTGTGGAACTTTGTCACTGGCCCAACAAATATTAAAAATCTGCAGCAGTTTTGTTTTAGCTGTTGTCCCTAGGTTCTTGATCATTCCATTGGTTATGCCATTGATTCCAGGTGACTGTCCCATTTTCAGCTTTGATATTGCTAACTCTAACTCGCTAGACGTAACTGGTGCCTTCATTACCTCGGGAATTATATCATTTTGTCTGGATTGTTGTCATTTCTCTCTAACCTCTAGCTGTTTCTCTGGCTGACATCAATGTTGCTGCCTTCAGCAAATAATTCTGCAAAGTGGCTAGCTGCCCGTTATCATGTTAGGATGGCTCTTTCTGTACATATTGTAGTATTAGCCTTTCTCCCTGTGCTCTCGTCATTAATTTGTTTTACCAGCCTCCACATCTTCCTTGTGTCTATTTCAAAGTTTAGAGACTGTTTTTTTTTTTCTTGCCGACATGCCCTTTTAGTCTGCAGTTTAGCTTTTTGAAATTTGGCCTTTGCCTGTTGGCATTTGTTGAAGAGCTCTTGACAAGGTCTGATTTCAGCTTTCTTTCTTTCAGTTTCGATATCTTCTTCTTATTTGTTCACCGGCTGTAAGCTCCCGCGGAAAGTCCTGGTTGTTCATCCATTTGGACTTTGGCTTTGTGCCAGGGCCTAAGTTTTGCGTGTACACCCGTTTTACTGGTTTATTTGTGTGCAGCTGGTTGTTCCTTCCGCTCGGGCAGATGCACTCCGACTTCAAAGAAAGTTACCAGTTAGTCGACTTCTACAACATGCTTGCTGGGAAGGCAGTGGATCTATTCTTGTTTTCTCCACAATGGGGCCCCGGAACCCACACAGGAAAGTTTTGATATGATTGTGCAATTGTTCTAGATCACGATTCCAGTAGGGTTTATATTGCTTACGTGCACATTTTGGTATTGTTTCCAGGGCAGCCTGCAATATACATGTGCTGAACTCTTCTACTGCTTTGTCTGAATTGTTTTCGGTTTTTATGTTTTTAACCAAAACACTTGTAATGTGCTAATACAATTTGTAGTCTGTCTTCTTGTAATTTCATCTTGGTAGAGTGCTGCTCTTTCTTATAGAGTGGTTTTTTATCATTAGAAAGACCGGGCGGTGGTCACTGCCTCCTAGTTGTTTCCCAGCATTTCTAGTAATGTCTTATTCCATGTCTAGTGAATGAAAGTTTGTAATGAACCTTAAATGTTTTTGGAGGCGTTATTAGACGACTGTGCTCATATATATTTTTATTCTATGAAGAGATTGAAAGAAAACCATAATTGTTAAAAGTATACCTTAATCTTAATATAAAAAAAAAAAAAAAGAATAACTGAGATGAGTTTTCCATGTAGTAACAGAAGAAAGTATTTTAAAAAGTGGAACTCCATTTTAAGTCCTATTTATATTTCACTATACACAGTACAGTAATTACTGAAGAAATTGTATTTAGCATTCATTTCACTTGTGTTTAAGATATTGATTATATATATGGTGGTTTGGAACATTATTTTAAATTACCTGCTAGAGTTAATATCATACTGTTCTGGTTTGTTTAGGTGGTTTTGCCAAAGTTAAGCTGGCCTACCATGCACTCACTGGAGAAAAAGTCGCTGTGAAAATTATGGATAAAAGAACACTTGGAGTTAGTAATATTTCTGAATTTTATGTTTTTAAAATACTGCCTTGAGACTGAAAGTTTGAAGATGACTAACCTACACAATGTTTTTTTCTAAAAACTGTTTAAATCACTAAATACAGGATTTAGGAAGTTCACGCTCATTTAATCATTTAATTAATTTACGATTTCCTATTTTGTTTAATTTAAGCTTACATTTTCTTAATTTGAATCTTATTTTGTTGTTGCAAACTGTGTGCAGCTCTAAAGATTAATATGTTGTTTAATTAACTAAGTTAAAATATCTTTACAGTTTCGTAATAATACACGTATTAGAATGTTGGATAAATATATGATATAACAGTATAACCTGCCTCGTCACCCTAAATGGCCATATCCATTTACTCAGAGGCTTACAGTACCAGTGTCTTGATGATTCTCATGCATGAACAAAAAAACACAAACAATAGATTGCACAATTTATTACCTGGCATATTTAGCTGTATCGTGGCAGGTGCTTTAACTTTGATTGAACATATTAACTGTAATCACATTCTATCCTGGATGTTTTTTCTTCTCCTATTGGTCATATCTGTTTACATCCTTCTTGTGTACTGTGAGTCATTTCTGATACAGATTTTCTCCTATACCATGAGGCCTGACTATCCAACACCCTCTCTTGATCTCACCTTGCCTCTGTTCCCCTCCAGCTTACTGGTTGTCACAACATAGTCAAGCTTTTCCTTTTTCATGACTGGGTGGATTGTCCTCACATCATGCGTACAATCAGTTATCTTTCAGATATCTTCATTACACTTTTTATTTATCCATAATGTTCTCATCATTCATCTCATATAATGTCTGTCTAATTGTTTACTAGACACTGCCTAATGTTGACTATAATCTTAATATGAAATGATCATACAACAGGCAGAACTGCCGAGAGTGACAACAGAGATTGCTGCCATGAAAGATTTACATCATCAGCACATCTGCAAGCTTTTCCAAGTTATTGAAACAGAAAACAGGTTTTTCCTGATACTTGAGGTAGGCAGTAACTAACATTCACTGGATATTGTTTTCTGAACTTGTAGACTGTTGATCATGGGTTCCATTTTGTGGATTGTTTACATTTACAAGAAACTTCACATTTATCTGCACTTCAGCATGCACTCCTCCGCAGCCATTGGTATCCTTTGAAACAACCAGTTACATTTTTTTTCTCCCCAGAGGTGGGCGTGCCATTTCCTTCCTCGTCAACATTCCTTCCCATACATTTCTGGAAATCACCTGTTACTCATTTTTATTAGGCTAGGTGGAGGACTAAAGTGCACTGGCCAAAACAAAAAATCATTAGGTTAGTCTCCTGCAAATATATTTAATAATGCTGGGAAAAAGTTAAGTAAGTCAGTTTTAGATACAGTGATGAAAACTTGAAAATTAAACAATCCATGTGTACTTTTGTGTGCATTGTTTGTCCAAGAGCTTGAGTTGATGTGGTTTTACTGGTTGGGTTGCATCAGTTTGAAAGGTTAAAAGAAAGCGTTTCTTTTTTTGTATTGTTAAAAATAGTAATGGTTGAATGACTCAGTTCGGACAAATTTGATTAAAATCTACAAATTTCAAGTGAAAACAATGTCACTACATTGATGACTAGTTCAAGATTTAAAAACTGCAAATTTTCTCGTTTTATTAGGAAGTGAAATGTAATTTTTACATATACGAAAACCTTATTACTTCCATTTTTCATTTATAGTACTGTCCTGAGGGTGAGCTTTTTGACTACATTATATCAAAAGACAGACTGGATGAAAATGAAGCTCGCCTTTTTTTTAGGCAGATAGTTGCCGCAGTGACATATATCCATGAAGCTGGGTACGCTCATCGAGACCTTAAACCTGTAAGTATTTCATTGGTTAGTGAAAGACATTGTAGCATTCAGTGGTAGATTTTCAACTTTCCACTGTTCGTTGTATGCAGAAAAGAGGTAGTTGCTAGTTGGTAAAAAAAATTTTGTGTGAATATTAAGACTGTATGTCCATATAATTTCACTAGCTGTTAGAATGATGGCTAACTATCCAGGTAATTTGCCCTTTTCTTTAGTATTTATACTACCTATGTATGTTTAAGATTGATGGCAAGTCATCCAAGTAAATTCAGCTTTTAGCACCAAACTCACTTACCTGAGTAATTTCAGTAACTGTTAGAATGAAAGCAGGGCCACAAGAGGCAAGTACACAGTAACATGTGTAACAGTTCATTCTGTACCGTGGACATAATGTATTATTAGACAAGAGTACCTTCAATGTCTTATAAAACAGCTGTTAAATATTAGAAAGATGGAATTATGAATATTTAAAAAAGGGATGCAGAAATTTGATACACACAAAATGGCTTTTCAGTAGTTTACATGCAGTTACTGTAATTGTCTCATTTAAGTTAAGGTTTAATGTTATGATATTTTTCATTTACTTGTATTGTTCAACCTTTGAAGTAGCTACAGTAGATTATATCTTCAATCCAGTCTTTTGTCCATTTTTAAAGTCATGCCAAATCTCTTTCAGGAAAATCTGCTGCTCGATGAGGACCTTAATATAAAGCTGATTGACTTTGGACTGTGTGCAAAACCAGAGGTGAAGTGTCATTCATTTGTTAAATATTGTCATTGAGAGTTTTATGTTTGCTAAATTGTTAATAAAAAAAAAAACCCATTATGGACAGAAATAAAAAATACAGTCCAAAAATATTCCTTTTTGATTATCTTAGATTCATAACATCTGTTATCAATTTGGATTCAGTCAAAGGTATTTGTTAATCAAGTTGTTCCCTGTTTTTGGCTTGCACATGTTAGTACTGTGGGTATTGAAAACAAGAAATCATACACCTATTATTAACTGGTATCAACCATCATATCAGTCTGATATCATAAGTCAAAATCAGCTTGTTTCTGTATCTACGAATGTGTTTTCTCCTCCAGGGTGGCATTAGTAGCTTCTTAGCAACTCTGTGTGGAAGTCCAGCTTATGCTGCACCAGAACTGATCGCTGGTAAACAGTATCTGGGACCAGAGGTAAATGCATTGATGGCTTTTTTTTTCTCTTTTCATTTCACCTACTTAATCTTTCACGTGTTTCTCCCCTACCTTCATCTGTTCAAATGTCTGTATGTTGCGAGTCCCACGACGTGGATAAATGCTTTTGTGATGAGTGGGGTTGTTACTCTCAACACTTCACCTCCACCAGAGAAACTGGACTAATAACCGAGCTATGTTGATCTCAGACAAAATCCTGGATATCCAAGAAAACAGCCATAGTCAGCTCGTCCTGTAAATTCACAGCAGCTGCACTTGGTACCCACAGGAGAAGGAAAGGGGTTTTAGATGTCTAGATTACTTTAATTAATGAATTGTTAGACCGAACAGGTGACCCCTCGTGACGACCTCCTCCTGTAAAGAATTATTAAAGAGCTCCCACCAAATGTAATTCTAACAGTTTAGTTAAACATGTAAGAACAAATACACTTGGACAAACGATGTACAGTGGAACCTCGCTTAACAAGCATAATTCGTTCCAGAATCATACTCGCTAAGCGAAACACTCGTTATGAGAAACAATTTTTCTCATATAAATTAATGTAAAATACGATAATGCGTTCCATGTCAAAAAAAATACTCACAAAATGCTATGTATATCGTTTATTCAGAGAAAATTATATACATATTGTTAAGTAGAGTGGATCATCTTCTTTTATTTTCTTCAAATGCGTAACGAACCCACATGGAGTGCGAATTTGATTTGCAGGGGGGAAAAAGTTGAAATAATTATGATACATAGCTTATTATTATTTTTGTACTGGAAAGATGTCTAGAGATTTGTTTTTGCTGACGCTTCAAAATTTGGCGAAAATGCGACACAGTATTATCATTAAATAAATTTGCAACGCGCATAGCCACTTCCTTGTTAGGGCAATGCTTCTCAATGTAAGATGCGACAGTTTGCCATGCTTTCAGCATTTCTCTTATTTTGCCAAAAAATTGTTGCTTTTCTGTTAGTTCCTCCTCTGACAAACTTTCCTCCAAAACGCAGCTTTTGGCTGTGCTCTTCCACAAGCTCTTTGATATCACTGTTATCCACCTACAAACCAACGATAGTGGCCAAAGACACAATCTCGTTGACTACAGGTTTCACTGTCTCGAACCCCTCAAAGTCACAAATAGACAACAGTCTCCAGCCAAAGCTTCTTCCAAGTAGAAGTTAGGATTCTCTTGGTAACTCCTTCTCCCGCCTTGTCGATCATCTTGAGGCAGACAATGATATGAAAGTGATTTTTCCTAAACTCTTTGAGAGTGAGGTTGGTCCCTTCAGTCAGCTGAAAACAATGCTCGAAGAGTGCTTTAGTGTAGAGTTTCTTAAAGTTAAAAATAACTTGCTTGTCCATGGGCTTGAGTAACGGAGTGGTGTTGGGAGGCAGAAACTGGATCTTGATGAACTTAAATTCTTCAGAGAGGTCATCTTGTAGGCCTGGAAGATTCATGTACATATATCACAATATAACACAAGTTTGAGAAAATGTGTGATCACATGTGACACTACGATGCTACTGTGTGACACAGTTGTGTCTTCACATCCCCCAAGTATGGATGTGCCTAATGCGGCCAAGGTGTATGGATACAGTTCGTAGTTCTCTTGAATCGTACTTAAGAACAAGGCCAGTGATGTAACAATTACACAGGAGTTTGTTTATTAACAATATTGTCAAGTCAAACAGAATGCATCATCTCAATAACCAATAGTATAGGAACACTTCATTATCTTATTGCTGTATCTGTTCGTATGTCTCTCTATGAGTCCTTAATCACAGTTCTAGCTAAACTCCAAGTTTAACATCTATCTTCTCACGACTGTTTTCTCAACTCCTCTCTTCAGCGGCTGGCTCCTGACTGTGCTGTCTGCTCTCTCAAGCCGCTAGGTACTAACTGTCTTCTCCTCGCTCCTCTACCCTTTACCTTCAGCCCCGCTTCCCCTCTCTTTCTCGCGTGGGTTCTCAATCACCCCCTGTCATCTGTCTCTTGTGGTCATGTTTGGATAAACGTATCTCTTCAACTGGTCACAGTGCATCTGGTTTTATCTGTATCGCTGGTCGGGCCAGCTTTCTGTTTTCTGTCATGCCAACCAGTGATGGATTGGCGTGCCTAGATGCTGTTCTGAAATGTATACCTTCTTCATTGAACCCCTTCTGTCCGCCTTCCTATTTCACTACAACTGGAACAAGTGCTAAACACAGACTGATGTAACATGCTCACAATTCGGGACTTCCCCTCTCCTCGCCGCTCGTTATGCGAAATGTCGCTCATTTTTTACAATTTGTTTTGCTCGTTATGCGAATTACTCATTAATGCGAGGTGCTCGTTAAGCGAGGTTCTACTGTAGTATAAAACTTGATGTATTGATTTATTATACCAGCAATAATTTAGATGACATTTGTCAGGTTGCTGTGTTTGAACAATCAGTGACTAGCTGATGGTATGGTGGTAATGAGATGCTTGAACTAGAGAACTGAGCACCTGAGATCAGAGTAATGTTCTTATGGTGATGATTACTTTAGGAATAACAATTATAAACGTAATGTGGATTCACTTAAGTTTATAATTTCATTATACTAAATATCAGTATTCAAGTCTTATTTTATTAACATGAAAACATTTACAGAAAAACCTGTAATACATTCAAGAAATAGTTGTAGTTTACCAGCTCCCTAACTGAGAAATCAATACTCAAAAGAACTATTTGAAGAGGAATGTATGTTTAGATAATTCAGGAAAGAGTAGAAATAGCTAGACTCTAACAGATGAATAAAAGAGGGGAATAATATTCAATCATACCTGGGGAAAATTCCAGCAGTTTACCAAAAGAGACATAGTTAGACTGATGTTCTAGTGTAGCTCTTATTCAGTGGCATGCTGGCATACAAACTCAATTAAATTTAAAACTCCTAACTGTATTAATCCATCCCCTACTCACAAATAGCAGTAACTTCTCCCATCAAAGTCTTTCCTTCAAGAGAGGATTTAAGCCACACCCCTGAGGTACCTTCCAACTGTAATTATCATTTTTTTGTGTAGCTCTTATTCAGTGGCATGCTGGCATACAAACTCAATTAAATTTAAAACTCCTAACTGTATTAATCCATCCCCTACTCACAAATAGCAGTAACTTCTCCCATCAAAGTCTTTCCTTCAAGAGAGGATTTAAGCCACACCCCTGAGGTACCTTCCAACTGTAATTATCATTTTTTTGTGTGGCTATTAATAAGTTCTTGACTGCCCCTACTTATCAAACATTATTAGTGGGGCAAATTTGGTTTTACTCACTGTCATTGAAAGATGTGAAGAACCAACCAAGTGTATGGAGACAGTGTCTGGATTTTCTTTCTGGTCAGACCTTATTATCTTGATTTTGCCAGGTTCACAGGGTCCAGTCTGGTCTATTATGTAGTATTTCTGACACCTGTGATTTCCCCAGTAGACTGGATGGCAATGTTATGTAATCTTAGACCAGGGCTATTTCTTTGTCTGGGCTAAGAACTGGAATTAGTTTTAAATCCCATCTGGTTGTAGTATTTGGGCTTAGTGCACAGTGAACAGAAGAAATTTGTAAACATATTAACTTCTGAAAGCACTGAGGTGATTTTGTCACATGCCAAATTAAATGCTTTTCGCAGTGGAATAATGTCAGTGATATTCCTGAGACAGTTGAAAGGTTTTCTAATGAAACAAGTTTTTACTTAATATTTTCAAAAACCAGGTTCACAACATGATATTATGTATATATACATTTGTATACACTTTGATAATGAATAAATTAAAAAATATTCTGTTCTTCTTTGAAGGTTGATCAGTGGAGTATGGGTGTGTTACTCTATGCCTTACTTTGTGGATTTCTTCCCTTTGATGATGAAAACATAAGTCATTTGTACAAGAAAATTAAGGTTTGATAATTAGCTTGTTTACCTTTTATACCTTTTGAAACCATTTTAATAAAAAAAAATAATAGAAGTCTGAGGAAACAATTATCTAGGCTTGATAGTTTATAACATGTTGTTAGGCTAATCTAGACCAGAAGATTGTTCTGTGTGACTGTCAATCTTGTAAACACCACACTTAGTTTGTGGATTACCTGACAGCATCTACTCATGAAAGTCATAACTGCAGTCACGCATGGAAAAGTATAAAATCATGCAGATGACTTAATTCTTATCTGATATAGATATAAAGCGCAGTACTTCATTCCAGTAGACCACAAATGAGAAACAAATATTTGAAAATGCAGGCATTGGATATGATAACTACTTTGAGAAATGTGAATAATTTAAGTAGAAAGTCCTTTCTCTGGAACTCACATGGCAAAAGAAATAGAGATTTAAAAATATATGGAAAAGAGACTTAGAAATCGATAAATAATGTGGTTACAATGTTGAGTTCTTGTGCTAAAGACCGGGATTTGACCCGGGTAAAGTGGTTCAGTTTTTCTGTCAGGGGCAGAAAAAAAAACATCCTAACCTTTGCAGTTTGTGGAGACAGCACTAGCCACGTGGCCCTAAATCCTCAGGCACATGACCTGCCTTATAAAGACCGCCCTAAAAAGTGATAAATACTGACAGTGCCCCAGTTGACAGTATTAAACTGGCATAGATTTTTGACTGGTTTTTGTGCTAGAGACAGATGAAAAGAACTGACTGTGGGTTTTTGCACTTATGATGGCTGCCTTATGCTTTAAATGCATGTGTGTGCTTGTGGATATGCTGAGACTGCAGTCTTGTCAATTTTTTGTCGCAAGGAACAGTGATGAACATTCTGTGTGTTTTTCGCTGGCACAGGAGTGGAACAACGATTGGGTGACCTGTTAATGTTTACTATGAAGCTGAAACTAATATTACCAAAATTGCCAAGAAAACAACTGACCATACCTTGTCATAAAGTTATAACCTATCCTGCACATTCAAGCACTTTGAACCTTGTGTTAATGTTTTTACAAATCATTTAATAAAATATTACCCAAGATAGTATTGAAGTATTTTGTTTTTCAGTTTCAGTAAGCAAAACAAACAATAAATGTTCCTTATTTTTTTTAGACTGGTGTGTATGCTACTCCTGTATGGCTTAGTGAAGAGAGTAAGGAGATCATCTCCCAGCTTCTGAAGGTTGAACCCAAGAGGCGTATTTCCATGCAAGACTTGTTGAGACATCCATGGCTGACAAAGACCTTCAACATACCAATAGAGTGGGAAAGTAAATATAAGGTTAGGACTGTGTGAGATTTGTCTTCAAGTGTGTGTAAATGTCTAGTGCATTTTAATGCTGTAGATTAGGAGAATGCTGATTTCTGTAATCTTGATTTTGAGTAATTAGGAGACGTGCTGTATGGTGGGTGCCTCTACTACGTCTAGGCGCATTCACAGACTAGAAGGTGTGGATTGGCATCTAGATGTAGTGATTATCCATGAATCTGTTAAATAAGCTACAATGGACCAACAAGGACAGTGGTCATTGAGATGAATTAGTTGGTGGAGCAGTCTCTATAAAATACATTGAAACTGTAACATGTCTGTTGGTAGGTAAGAGGCACTGTATATAACTTCTCTCCAACTCCCCTGTCAAAGAATCCTGAATGTGACTTTTGGGCAGTGAATCAGATGCCTAGCATTACCTGAGATGGTTATACCCTTGGTATGCCAGCTAGCCAGACAGTCCTTTAGACATGTTTTGCGAGTTAGTTTTTTTCCATTTTCAGCTTTTGCATCTGATTGCCATAAGAGGGAGATTACCCAGAGTTGCATTAATTACAATAAGGCTATATACACAATATTATTATTCTTTTCTATTTAGTCTAATGCTGTATGCCATTCTTATTCTTGTGTATCAATGATGAAATTACTACTAAATACAAAAACGTGTGTGTGTGTGTCAATAAGTGGAATTGTTATCATCTCTTTTTCCCTGTAAGAAGCTATTATAAAAATACTTGAATACTTCTCTTATTTTCTGTTGCCTATTTTTTGGGTGTAAAATAACATAACAATACTTTGATAACTATCTTAATTATTGAATAATTATGCTGTTAGTTAAGGAGTGTGCTTAATCTGTCTGGCAACCACTAGTTTCAGTCATGCACTGTGGGGTGAAATTTAATATCTGCTGCAAACAGTGTGCAAGTTCACAGATATGGTTAACATAACGTCTGACCCGGAAAGAGAGTGACTTTCCCTTGCCTTTCATACTTTGTAGAGTCGCAGGGCCTGTCCTATGTTGCGATGGTGTCACGCTTAGTGACTGGCCAGCAACACTAAGTGTTTTACTTAAAGTATTTTACTTATTGTTGTCAGGGGCCTGCTATATCGTGTGTTCTACATTCCACAATGTGAGCAATTTGAACTGTCTCAAAACAGAGAACTGGTCCTAACCCTAACCCCTCTACCCCACAGCCTCAACTTACGTCCCACCACTGAATGCAGCCTAGGTTGCACAACTGTATGCAGTTGTGGGACATAGGCTGCACTTTCTCATGAAATGTAGGCTGCACTCTCTAGTAAGGTGCATTATTTTTTATTTGCAAGGGATTGATCGATTTTCTTTAAGATGTAAAGGGAACTTAGGTTTCGATAAACAAACTTTTAGTGATACAAACCACAGTCAAGAACGAATTAGGTTTATAACTGGAGATACCACTGCAGTCTGCTATGGCATGCTTTGTAGTTAAAGAGTTAAAAAAATAAACCAAAAAGGTACAGAATTAAAATATGATACCCCCGTGTGGGTTCCGGGGCCCCATTGTGGGGAAAACAAGAATAGACCCACTGCCTCCCAAAAAGCATGTTGTAAGAGTCGACTAATTGGGGAGCTTCCTTTGAATTCGGAGTGCATCTGCTGGAGAGGCAAGGAACCAACAGTCTGTATTCAAGAGAATGAGATCTGTAAAACTGATGCATACAGAACACTCAGGTTCTGGAGCAGGACTGCAGTTCAGTAGTGGACGAGCAACCAGAACTTTCCGCCAGTGTACAGCTGGTGAACGTGAAGAAGAATGAAGAAGAAGAAAATATGATAGATTGGGGAAAAATTGTTCACAAACTTAAATAACAATTATCCCATTAGACTGGTTATTTAAAACTACTAAAGCCAGTTGATGCATTCTTTGTCATGGTTTCATGCTTCAGGTGCTGTATTTGTATTCCTGGCATATTCTTGATAGTTTAAAACATGTTGAGTGGTAATCAATGACCCAAGAATTAAATATGTTTTGGCAGAAAGTTTTGGATGATGACTGCATTATTGAACTGGCTGTTCACCACCAAAAAACAAGGAAGCAAATGGAGACAGATATATCAGAGGTATTGTAAATATAAGATGTGTCCACTGTCTACAAACCACCTAGAATACAGGAATACACAAATTTTTGTAAACTTATTTGACTTCCTGTTTTATTTGTCCAAAAATCGTTTATACTAGGAATCACTGATGTAATTTTTTCTCTTCAGTTTTTTGTTAGTTCAGTATGGACCGCCAGCCTTGTATGACATATACTGGCACAATAGGATGATGAATAAAAGAATGTAAGCTATGCTTGCAAGAGAACTAACTGCAGCCAACACATGCCAAGCTTTTGTAGACTTTTTTGTGGTGTGATTTATTTGAATGAAGTTGCTAAAATTTGTCAACGTGTTGGTAGCCAGTCTCACACCAGGCTTCCTCAGTCACCTTTTTTTTTTACATTTAACAGCACGTCACAGTGATACTTATCTTTGCTTGCATGACAGTGACACAGACAGTTACACTAAGAGAAGATCATTAATAAGCAAATGTCAGAGATAGGATCACCTATCTGAAAGATTAATAATCTTCTGATTAACATGACTAATATAAGCAGAATATTTTAGCTGTTGTTAATAGAAGCCTTTTTTTCATTGTGATTTAATTTGTGAGTATTGTTAGCTTTTGTTTTCTATTGTTGATGAATGTATTTGGTCCCCCCCTTCCCCTCCTCTCTCTCCCCTCCCCCTCCATATTTATGAATGTATTGAGCATATATTTTCTCATTTATAACTTTTTTAAGTTTATATTTTGTTCTGTTTATAAATGTATTTGGTTAATATTTTGTCCTGTTTATAAATTTATTTGGTTTATGTTTTCTCCTGTTTTTCACGTCTAGTGGAGGTATGACTACCTGACTGCTAGCTACTTGTTGTTGCTGGAGAAGAAGAGGAAGGGAAAACCTGTCAGACTGTTGCAGAGGCCAATATCACGAGAGGACAGATCTAGGGTCAGAGTGCATTGCATCATTGTGCTTATTCTAATAGTTAAAAAAAATTTATTGAATTCAAACCTTTTTATTGTGTATTAGAATAAACTTAGCACGATGGTTTCAGTTGCAGGCTTGAGGGAAAGTTAGTTGTGATGCTGCATACCTCACCTCAAGCACCAGCAGGTTCTATAAAGGTTTTACGGATCCTCATGCAAGACTCCTGCCACTTGTCTTCATGCGCTATGGATAATGGGTTATATTGGTTTTAACCGAACTGGTAGGGGATCTTGAAGTTGGTGGCCCCCAGAGATGCTCAGAGACGTAAAAGTTTGTATAACAACAGTGAATGTACTGGTAGAACAAACAGAGGACACTTAGAACCATTTACCATAAAATCTGAAGTAGGACAGTGCTGTGTCCTGTCTCCCCTTCTCTTCAAAACTCACACTGATAACATCTGTAAAGAAGCCAGTCAAATAAGGCCTGTAATATACCAAGAAGAACCAAAGCCAAACAGTTCCATCAAAGAACTACTATTTGCGGATGACCAAGCACTAATTACTAATTCAAAAACTGAACTGCAGGACCATATAAATTATTTAAACCAAACTTGCAAAGAGCATAACATGAAAATTAACACCAACAAAACAGAGATCATGACCATAGACAAAACAATAAATATCCAGCTTACCGAACAACTTCTGAAACAAACCAAGAGCTTCAGATACTTGGAGGCATAATGCGATCAGCAGGAGATTGATGACATGTAAAAAAGCAAACCAGCTCACTGGGTAAATGCCACCATACTAAGAAACAAACATGTATCAGTAGAAACCAGAAGAGGACTGACTGACACAGTCTTCCTGCCAACCCTGTGTTACCAGTGCCCTACCTGGACAATGACAGAACAAAGAGAACAGAAAAATTACAACTTAAATGGGATTCCTATGAAGGGCTCTCAATATAACAATAAGAGATAAGATCAGAAACAATGAAATCCAAAGGATAATAGGAGTAGCAGCAGCTCTGGATTTCATTAGAAGGCAACAGGTGAAATGGCTTGACCATATAACGCAGATGTCACAGACAGTATAGTATACCACAGCAAGCCATGGTGTACAGATAAGATGAGAAGTAAAGAAGAGGCTGACCAGGCAAGCGATGGACTGGGAATTACATAGTTCCTGGGAATCCTAATTGACAAAGCAGTCAAGAAACCCTCTGGCTCTCTGCCTGCAGTAGTCGGATGTGTCTGCCTTAGGTGCAAATATTGCAGCCATGTTGTAAACGGGCGCAGCCTAATTAAATCTTTAGTTGATAGCAGAAAAAGATGATTTCAATTATTCACCGATGTAGAAGATTGCTATTTTTTGAGTCCTATCATGGCAGTTCAGTTCTGTATCTAATGCTAGTCATGTTCTCAGGAACCTTGAATAAAAAAAATATGCAGGATGTGACATGACAATATTAAACAGCATTAAAAGTCTATGGTTAAGCACCAGCAAGGAAGTCAAAATTACAATTTTCAGAGCATGCATCTTCCCTGTAGAAACATACGGATGTGAGTCCTGGACTATCTCCCAGTCCTTAAGGGAAAAAAACCCAGAGCTTTGAAGCCGAAATGCTATAGAAAGATTCTCAGAATAACATGGACAAAGAAGTTGAGAAATACTGACATTTTAAAAGATCTGAACATCGAGGAAGATTAGCAGATAAACAGTATCTTGTCTTGGAAGCTGAAATGTTTTGGTCATATCAAGTGTTATGGCGAATAAAAAAAATAATAATAGCAGAAGGCATGGAATGAGGAAAACCAGAATACCCAAAAAGCATGACGTAAGAGTTGACTAATTGAGAGCTTCCTTCTAAGTCAAGAGTGCATCTGCCTGAGAGGCAAGGAACCAACAGTCTGCATACAAAGTCAGGTCCGTAAAATGGATGCGCATGTAACACTCAGGTTCGGGAACATGACTACAGTCTAGAAGTGGACAAACAACCAGAACTTTCTGCTGGAGTTTACAGTTGGTGAACATAAAGAAGAAGAAGGTACCAGGAAGGAGGGGCAGAGGCCAACCAGCATGTAGATGGGCACAGGAAATAAACGACTCCTTTAATATGAATGTTCATGAGGTGGGAGGGCTGGTAAGAGCATTTTTTTCTTTCTGTAGGCAGACTGTGATGAGAGCGACGTTCTGCAAAGGACCTGCTACAAGACTATTGTTGAGGGGCAGTTTGCATGCAGCCTGTTATACTTTCTGCATGAGTGATTGTTATTGTGCTTTGAATATTTCAACTGGTAAAATGTCTTTACACAAGGCAGCTGGCTTGGTGGAAGTTGATTACCAGCTTATGCTACATTGGAAATACAGAAGAAACCTATACTTGTCATGAACAAATCTATATACTTGTATTTGTTATTTTTAGTGACTGCATATCCATCTTCTCTGATGCATTATAATAATTTAACTGTAAGCTACATGTCTCTATTTTTTCAGTCACGACACCGCAGTTCGGAAGAGGATTTAAGTGGAGTTGACTTCATGGACTCTGTATTTATTCTCACACCACAAAACAAGGCAGACAAAGTGGCAACTACTGTGGCTGAAAATCGACATGGCCGTGTGCGAGAGAGATTAAACTTTGGTGATAATCCTGATCCAGCAGCAAAGAAACAAACTTGCAACAATAAAATTGTAGAAAATAATAAAATACAAGAAACTTTAGCACAGCAGCAGAAGATCAAATCAAGGGAGCCTTTAGAAGAAGTAGAAAATATGAAAACATTAGTAGCACTAAAGTCGACATCATCACCTCATCACATGAGTAAGGAGAACAAACCTATTGAATTACATGCAATTAAAGAAGTCGAAAAACAAAACAAGAAGGTAGTGGACACAGCAACAGATAGCCAAGGAAAAACTGAGGTAGCCAGAACACCTGTGAAGGAGGAGCACACACAAAAAGATACACCTGCTCAGATCTATAGAAAAGCTGATAATATTCACAGTGCGAGAAGAAGCGCAAGAAAGTCACCGCAGACGAGGTACAATACAAACGCAAGACATACAGAGGCCCATACACCGAATCGTAACGACCAGACTTCACACAGGAAAGAGGAAGAAAAGCGGGATACAGCTAAGAAACCAGCAGTTAGTTCTGTCCACTCAACTCCTAAAGCATTCACCGGAAATGTTTTTGCAATACCACAAACACCAAGAAACAGAGGCCTTCCACTAGGGACACCCAGGCTGAAGGCTCAGTCTCCACGTGAGATTATTTCCATGGATGATTCATGTAAGCCTCATTTTTGTCTCCCAATCTGTAGGACTGAATTAACTTTTTTGTGTGTGTGGATATAATTTAGACTTATTTTGTGTGTGTGCATTTGTTACTTGAAAACCTCATAAATTGTTCAATGTAAAAGTAAATAACCAATTTCTACACCTTGAGTAAAGTGTGCTAGACTCGTATGTTTATAAATCAGTTGACACTAGATGGCTGATGTAATCAGTAGCCTGCTGGAACCTTGACATTGTCTGGTATCAGTTTTTAGGCTTGGTCAACCTGGGAGTTGACCAGTTTAAAAATCCACCTCACAGGGAATTGAAAATGATGCTGGCCAGTAAGCTATTTATATGGCAACTGTGACCCATTAATTATTCATACCTTGCTGTTGTCATGTCAGTTTTTATACAGTATTTCCCTTTTGGCCATAAATTATATGATAAAAAGAGTGATGAAGATGTCTTGAAAGAAACCGACTCATGAAGAAAACTGATTGCCCACATCAGAACGAGACAATCTACATTCTTTAGTCATGTGCTGAGAAGGAGGAAACTGGAGTACATCGCAACGGTAGGAAAGTTGGAGGGAAAAAGAGGCATACTGAGAGAAAAGATGCGCAAAGTCTGACATCATTGTAGGGAGAATCATCTGTGTCAGAGTTGATTGAAAGTCCACGAGACAGAAGGTTGTGGATAGACATGACTACCAATGCCAGACGGCATGGGCTTTAAGAAGAACAAGAAGTTTCTGACAAGCAATTTGGGATTAACTTTGCATCTCTCCCTTGTGCTTAGAAGTGGAGCAAATATGGTTTGATTGTCCTGTAAATCAAACAAGAATGTTAAGGGATACACATAGTAGAATTGAGTGGAAACAGTTATACTGATTCACATCCTAATTTGTAGAGTTAGACTCATGGTTGTCAGAGAAGAAGAAAAAAAATACTGCTGACAATTTGTGATACAAAACTGAACATGTGAGAGATCTATTACAACTGTCCTAATTACCAAGAGCAATCATTAAGTAGTAGTAATAGCCTAGAGAAAAGGCTGAGCAGTTTTACAAGCAGTAGGTGAATTAGTCTCAACTGTGTTAGTATGAATAATACATATATTTGTCTATAGTTTTCACTAAAAAAACATTTCATGTTAATGTAAGTATTGTTAGCAGTTCAGCAATTATTGTACAGTATTCACTATAGAAACATCTCATTGGTAATGCAAGTTTTGTCAGGTTTAACAATGTTATACAGTAATCACCAGAGAAACATCTCATGTAATGTATGTTATGTCAGCAGTTGTCCATGAGAAATGTGCCCTCAGCACCACATTTTCCCCATCAAGGTCCTATGATTCACAGCTGAACAACCTGGCAGATTGTGCTGTAACTCCGACTAAGGAATCTGTGAAGTAAGTGGTGCATGTTTCAATCACAAAGTGTTACACTACTTTAAAATGTACATTTTAATGCATTTTGAACACAATTTGTGAAATTCCTTAACCCTCTCGCTCAGAGAAGATTAAATCTAGTCACTTCCAGTTGGGACACAGTTCTGTGTATACCGATGTATCATCACATCTGTACTAACCTGTTTTTGAAAAGAGTAGTAAATCCCAAGGTCACAGCATGAGTCATCCAATTCATATTTTATTTTAGGTTCCCCAGGGAGTCTATTCCTTTTAATGCTTCACCATGTTCATGTTTATTATGGTACATTTTTTAAATATATATATATATATATATATATATATATATATATATATATATATATATATATATATATATATATATATATATATATATATATATATATATATATATATATATATATATATATATATATATATATATATATATATATATATATATATATATATATCTCTCTTTGTTTAAAAAAAAAAAATCCTTGCTTAACAAATGTGTAACTTGTCATACCATCCTAAACTAGGTGCAGAAAGTTGCAGATGGATATCCATCACACCTGCTTAAGTTGAAAATACAAAAATCTTTGTAGCTTTTTTTCCCTTTCTGTGAACACCTCTGAGTCACTGGCAGTAACTATTTTCATGAATTCTATTGCACAGAGCAGCTTCACGGTCAGTGGATGACGGCTTGTACAAGGCACACATTCCTGGAAGTGGCCAGAAGTCATCAGCACGCAAAGTGACTGTCTTTGGCAGTATTGAGCGCATGTTCAACATGCTAACACCAAAGAAGAAGAGTTCTTCATGCAGTGGACCTAGAAAAGCCAAGGTCAGTTGTGGACCTGCCATATAGAATTATATTTCAGTACTGATAAAATGTTTTGTCATTTTAATATTCCTACATTTGGAGTATGTGAGTAGTGGATTGTTGGAAATTCTGAAGTATCTTATCTAAAAATATTATGTAGCAGGTCCTTTAAACATTGTCGCTCTAACGCTCTAAACAAAGATCGTTTCAGAGACACAGTCTCTTACCAGCTCTTCAGCCTCATGCAGTCTCCTGAACAAGATATTTCCCACATCCTGTGCCCATCTTCATGCTGGTCAGCCCCTGCCCCTCTTTCCTGGTACTATGCACTCTGCTACTGTTCATTCCAAACCACGGTGGGGCTTGATATGGCCAAAATATTTGTTTCCGATACAAGATGCTATTTACTAGCCAATCTTTCTGTGCTTTAAGATCTTTTAGGGTGTCAGTATTTCTTTTCTTCTTTGTCTATGGTATTCTGAGAATCTTTCTATAGTATGTCATCTCAAAAATAAAAACCCCTATTTTGTTCGTTAATTATTGTGAGATAGTCCACGACCCACATATGTTTGTTTCCACAGGTAAGACACACTCTCTCAATGTTTTGACTTTGATTACCCCCCTATACCTTAGCTGTATACTCTTAAGGCGATGCTTACCTTGTGAAACTAAATTGTATAATATTTAATTTCTACGTTCTGGGTATAAGGTTTTATATTGAAGACCTCAGATCAATCAAATACTGTCACACTGGCTGTGCACTCAATGTTGGCTATGGAAACCAAGATAAACAACGGCTATTTTGGATAGGTTTAAAACCATAATTTTTTTAAACAACGGCCATTTTGGATTTTTTGGGATAGGTCTAAAACCATAATTTTTGTATGTACTGGCTCAATTTGGTGGTGGGGGGGGGGGGGGGGGGTATATTTATACAAAGCCTCTTTACACAAGTACAAAATGTTTTTTATGATATCATTTACCATTTCAGTTTTTAGGAAATTTTAAAAATGTAGCATATATTTTTAGACAATTTTTGTGGCTTCTCGACTGCTGCACAAGAACTGATTCTTAGTTTTACAAACGCTCTTGTATTTGCGTGAGTAATACAATGTTAAATAAGTGTACAAAGTTTTATTATTATAATCAGAGAAGCAGTTTTTGTTTTCTGTTAGAAAAATAAATCGCAAGCTCAAATCTGCCAAATGAGAAAATAGAGGGAAAAGGAAATTTGTCATGTTTTATTATACTAACAACATTATTTTTATGCTTTAACATGTTTTTACATAAAAAAAAACAGTTTCTAATATTTCATGATCATTGGAACAATCCTGCTGCATATGCAGGACCTCCTGCTAGGGCATGTAGTTCATCTTGCCTTTTCAGATTGGTAGCTCTTACACTGTTGTGTCTCTTATTTTGCTTGTCTTCTTATACTTCAACCTATTTCTAACTCTCTTCTGCATCCTAGATGCTCCTAGTCTCTTCATATGCAGACCTGCAGAAAAACTGGACAGTGTCTTGAGAAGCTACAGCACCAAAGTTTAACTCTCTTGCTGCAGTTACAATTGCAAACTGAAAGCGCTTGCGTGAGGCAAACTTGTCTTTTGTACAGTGAGCCCAGACCAGTTTGTGTAAACACTCATTTGAATTCTGAGTTTTTCCTGAAACACATCTACTAAGTAGTTTAGGGTCAGACAACCCGGCTTTGCCCGGGAAAACCCCAAACCCGATTGCTCCCCACTTTGGCAATTTATGGTAGGAGTTTTGTCTGTTAAAAACAGGATGCAAGAAGCCCAAAAGTGTTTTCATTTACTTTACACTGGTTTTTTCTTTTGCTCTTTAATAAAATGTCAGTTTGGATGGCTTTTTGTAAGGACCTTACCCCATCACCTAGGGACACCCTTTCTTTGTCAGTCCGCAACAATATCGGAGTGCTGTTTCCCAAAGGGGTTTATGACATGGTTGCATATCTCTTGTCTATGTGAAAGTTTTTTTCTCTCTCCCCCCCCCCCCCCCCCCCCCCCCCCCCCCCCCCCCCCCCCCCCCCCCCCCCCCCCCCCCCCCCCCCCCCTTAAGCTCCCCTAAGTTTTGGCTTTACCCTCAGAAAGCATTTTTGATAAAGAAGTTATGCGAGCACGACCCTGCCACAACACTCGTGAAACTCCACCTCTTTCGCAGAACGTGAAATTAAATTTTTTTC